GGACAAGCCTTTATACATTTGGCTGCCCAAGAAGATGCCAGAGGAGGTGGTCAAGTATGTTGAAGGCAAATTGCAGGGGCACCGCACCGACCTGGTCAAGATGGTCAAGGGCGTATTCGGGCTCAATGAGAGCCCTCGCTTGTGGTACCCCGAACTCGACGGCATCTTCAAGAGCTCGGATTCAAAAAGCTCACCTTGGCGCCGTGTGTCTTTGTGCTGCATGTCAATGGCTCCTTGGAAGCCATGGCGACTGTCCATGTGGATGACGTGTTGTTGGCAGGCAGCTCAGCAGTGTCGAATGTTTGGGCTGAACTCCGCAGCCGATTGACCTTCGGCAATTAGACACCCATGATTGATGGCTTGAAATTCTTGGGGCGCCACATCCATCAAGATGAAGAAAGCCTTGAGGTCACCACCAATATGAATGAATATTGTAGCGAGTTTCGTGAAGTGGCTGTGGATCCTCAAGGTGCTGATTCTACCCCCCTTGATGCTGCACAGGTGGGCGAGCTCCGTTCATGTGTTGGGCTGTGCGATAAGGGAGGCCTGATCTCTTATTTCTCGTATCATGGTTGCAGCAGAGCTTCAAGGAGCCAACGATCAAGCATCTGCGAGTCGTCAACTCTGTGGTGCGAGCATTGAAGAATGAGCTCTCCATTCGCTTCGTGCATCTTGGCTGTGCTTTAGAAGATGTTTTGTTTGTCGTTTCGTCGGACGGGGCGTACGGCACTATGCCGGATGGCAAGTCCCAGCAGGGCTGGGCCATTGGAGTCTTCAATCCGGCGATCAAAGAAGGTGGAGCCAAGATGAATGTCGTGGAGTGGCAAAGAACGGCATGCAAGCGCGTAGTGAGGAGCTCCATGGCAATTGAAGCATGCGCTGCATCCATGGCCTTTGAGCACGGGGAGTATGTGCGGGCCATGTTCGGAGAATGTCTATGTCATGACTTCCAGGTGCGACGGTGGGGACAATTCGTTCGTCTCTGGGAGCTGATCCTTGTCCTGGATGCGAAGACAGCATTCGACACTCAGACGGAGAGCTTGCCTCAGGACAGGAGGACGGCTTTGGACCTCCTAGCGATCAAGGAGTCCCTTCTCGATGAATCCAACAGAGCTCTATGTAGATGGGTTCCGGGGCCTCAACAACTGGCCGATGGACTCACCAAGGAAAAGGGGAACAAGATCCTCCCAGACTTTTTGGCTACCAAAGAATGGAACCTCCGAGAAGACGCTGCTTGGCAAGAACAAAGGGTTCGGCAAAGAGCCAACCAAAAGGTGTACAAAGCCAAAATGAAGGCCCAACGAGCAGCAGTCGACCGGGGGTTGGGGGGTGAGTCAAACAGTCACCCACTCCCTTGTTCGTTCGACGTTTGAACCTTTGATTGGCGAAGCCGCCTGCTCCTCGAGTGTGCCTATGGAAAAGGCAATTTGCGTTTCATGTCCGTCCTCCCTTACCACTGATTGGTTCAATAAATCTATTATTTATTACTAGTCTTTCTGGTTCTAGGCATCTTTCGAATATTTCAATAGAATAAATCTAAATTTATGCATTACGACAATTGGATCGATTGGGGTGATATATCATCTTATGATATTATTATTGCTGAGGAAACAGGCTGACGGATGACTATTGAATGGCATATACGACAGTGGCATGTGGTGCATGGGGTAGATAGGTACGTATCGGTCCTCGTAATGGTTAGAATTGCCTTTATTTCCCGGGATGCCACTTCGATAATCCATTATATACCCGGCAGGATCTGGCAGGTTAGATTGCATATATATCGAGCTCACGATATCTATGCAATATATTTTTATATTTTTGGAATTTACGAATACCTTAATTTTGTTGCAAAATATAGAATAATTTGGATTTATTTTTAGAATGAATTCATTACGTTCCAGCCCGACTATGATAATTAATATATCTTCACGAAGGATCCCAAATTTACTAAAATTGCCCAAACAGGTCGAACCTTATTTCAATCGCTTATTTAGGATAATCATTTCGTTGCAATCCATACTAAAGTGTTTAATCCAACCTTTGTGCGTGATAATCATACCATATGGATTGATTTTGTATTCATGCGTAAGGAGTAGGTCTCCTGGCGCACGCTCCAATCGAAATATCACCCAGAGTTCGAATGTTTATTTGGCAATAAAGACCCGAGATGTAATTCCCTGAATTTGCATTTATCTAAATGGTTTCTATCCCCCAGATCCAAACCCAATGAGGCTATCAACCGATTCCGCCTCCGACAGGCTTGGATACAGAACGCACCACAATGGACAGATTTCCTCAGCCAGGCTTGACAGGCCATTGCGGACCATAAATCATTGCAGCTCCGATCGAGCTCAACCTGGAACAACACCTATTTAGGTTGCGCAGAAATTATTTTACCCCGGATCGACAACAGGTTCTCCCGAATCCTACCTTTCGTTCCCTTATGGCAGGCATGGAAGACCGCCCTGGCTTTATCTGACAAGAATTTGACCTCGGTATTTTAAAGTTAATTTGCACAAATAATACAATAGGATTAACCGTAGGATCAAATTTGAAGCGTTGCTCCAGGAGGGTGCAGATCTAACTATGCGCCATCAATCCTTTAATTTCTTTCGACGAATCCGACAATTCTGTCCCAAGCAAAGGTTCAAACGCATTCATATATTTGATGATCATGATCAATCCCTTAATCCTCAACAAGAATTTGATGAATTGGTTCACTATTTTGGTGCCCAATTTCATGACCCTGATTTTCATCCACCTGTCTTGACCCCACTATATATGATGCATTGCGTAGCCTGCCGGCCATCAAAGCAATGGCACCTCCCTGTCTGCTAGCCATTGTATAGAAAATCATTGCCCGCGATCTTGCCAAACCGACGTATCAAGCTTTAACACAATATTGGAATGAAACCCCTCCCTATCCTCCGGCTAGCTACACCTCATCCGTAAACCGGAAAAGCCTAGCGCGAAACTACAAACACTTCGACCGATCTGCCTGCAACACCCGGTCTGCAAGGTTACATCGAATTTTGTCATCATTTAATTATTACACCATACGTTCGAGAAGTTTCGACGTCTCCATTTATATACCTATCTATCGCAAAGAGGCATTGCTAATTGTTTGCTACGTATTTCATACCAATGCAAATACGTCCGGGAAAATTATCAAACAAACTATAAAGATATTTCTGCAGACGACATGCTTGGAGACTTTCAAATTTCTTTAAATATAAACAAAGCATTTAATTCGATCAATAGGAACACGGTAGGTCTAACCATTACATGTCTAAACCTCCCACCTACTTTGCAAATCATAATCCATACATTATTATTCCCTTATAAACATTAGATCCCATACAAGAAATTTGTTGGTAGCGCGGCCAAGAAGAAGACAAAGCCCAGCCACAGAGTTGACAGAATTCAAAGACGCGACCAAGAGGAAGATAAGGACCAACCACAAAGCCCAACCACAAAATTAAGGGGCGCGACCAAGAAGAAGATAAAAGGAGGACAAAGCCCCAGTTACATAGCCCAGCCACAGAGTTAACAGAATTCAGAAGAGCGGCCAAGAGGAAGACAAGGCCCAGCCACAGAATTAACAGAGTTCAGGAGCGCGGCCAAGAAGAGGACAAGATAAAAACAAAGACCAACCACAAAGCCCACCACAAAATTAACAAAATTCAGGGGTGCGGCCAAAACGAAAACAACAGGAGGAAAATAAGGTCCAATCACAGACTTAATAGAGTTCAAGGACGCGACCAAGAAGAAAATAAAGTTCCAATCACAAATTATTATTATTCGATATTTTAAAATTATATAAGACTCGAAAATTGGTTTCGATATATATTATTACATTCGTCGAAATATATTAATTATTTTAGAATTATTTATTTTATTATTGCGATTTTTTATGTTATTTAAAATTAATTATTAAATTGTGTATTTTAACAAATAATTTATTAATGGAATTTTATTTTAAAAAGAAAAGATTTAATTATGTTTATTAATTGTATTTTTAAATTCTATAATTATAATTAAGTTTCGTTTTCTTTTTGTTTTCGTTTTTATCGCGTTTTTAAATTCTATTAATTTTATAATTGGATTTTATTATCTTTTTAATTTTCTTTTAATTAATTATATTAATTTTATAGTTAGATTTTATGATTAGATTTTATTTTTGTTATAATAATTGTATTAATTTTATAATTAGGTTTTGTTTTCGTTTTTATTACGATTCTAAATTCTATTAATTTTGTGGTTGATTTTTATGGTGTTTTTATTTTCTTTTTAATCGCGTTCCTAAATTTTGTTAATTCTATAGTTAGATTTTATGGTTATTTTTATTTTTTCTTTGCTTTCCCTTTTAATCGCATCTTTAAATTTTAACTAATAAAAGAAAAATTAAATAAATAATCCAATAATTCGCCAAAATAAAAAAATCCTAATAACAAAATAACAATTCCAAAATAGAATTTCGAAAATCGAATAAATCGCGCCGAAACCAAAATCCCGAAATAATAATTTAAAGAAACAAAACACATTTAAAATTCCCAAAATATCCCAACCACCCCGGATATTTTCCGTTAAACCAAAAATAAACATCAAATATAAAGCCGCCATAAAGAAAAATATATTCGCAAAAAATATCATAATAATAGCAGTTTTTTAAAATTTTCGATTTCGTCGAATTACGCGCGTACGCCTATTAATAGCCTTACCATTATATTGAATATTTAAATATAAATATATATATATAATAATAATATCTTTATGGTCCACCTTTAGGATCCAATTGTTTTGCCTGCATTCATGTATGCAATCATCAAAATGATAGAAAATATTGGAAAATAAAGATGTGGTCCCATGTTTCTGGCAGAGCTTGTAACGCAAGGCCTATTTGTTCAGCAGGTCGCATTGTACAAATAGCAAGGCTCTAAGCTTGAATTCATTGGATCCTCGTGTGGGAGCCCTTTTCAAATTGCCAGGTTGTGGCATCACTGGGAAGGAAAAGAGGCCGGGGTGCTCCGCCTCGGCTTTCTTACACCTGGAGCTTCACTTTGCTCCAGGAGCTTTTGCATCGCCAGCAAGCGCTTTTGCACCTCCTCCATCTTTTGGCTTTTCTCAAAGTGAGCCCTCTGGTGGTACCTATGACACTTCTCCTTTTCATCGTTTTCAGCTCTTGAAGATTCGTCAGCAGGTGCAGATGCAGCTGTTGTGTCCAGCTCCATTCGATCAACCTTATTCTTCTCGGCCTCAACCTCTTGCCGGAGGCGCTCCATTTCTTCCTCTTTTTGTGACGCTAAGGCTGCCTGTGCTGCCAAGCGCTCCTGAAGTTCCTGCACCTGAGCTCAAAAAGCTAGATTTGAAATGGAATTTCAAGCAGCTAAACTTAACTTGACAAAAAAAGGAAACTCTTGTCCCATTTTGGGAACGGACTTTTAACAGCTGCTTCATTCTTGTACTGCCTGCCTCTTGTTGCTTTTGGTCTGCCACCAACTCGTAGTTATGGGCTTTTCGCTCCACCTCGGTCAGCTCCCTCCGCTTCAAGCTCAGCAACTTGGAGATGGCGTTTGCAGCACTTGCATTCGCCTCTTCGCTTCTTTTGCTCATTTCGCGAGCATGCATACTGAAAAGCTTGGGCAAACTGTCAGAGACTTTGACTGCAGAGGACAGCCCCTTCGCCCAGAAATCCGCCTCTTCTTCGTCGTCAAAGTAGATGGCGATGGCCAGCTCTGCGTCTTTGATCACATGCAGCTCTTTGCCATGTTTGCATACTTCGGCTCCTCTCAGAAATATGGAGCCTTCTGCTTGTCCTGCCACTGACCCATGCATGAGCATATCGCCCACCAACGTGACATGGCGGCGCGTCCTGCCCAGCATGCCTGGCAGTTGGCACAAGACCTCTCCCATGAGACTTGTAGTAGTTGAAGATCTTTTTTTCACCGGAACTGAGACCACTCGTGAAGCTGAAGAGGGGTAGCAGCCACACGACGTCTGATAGGCGATGATCCCAATGGCCCCACCAGCTGCAACAGCAGCAGCAACTCCCATGGCTGCCATGGCAAGCTCTTGCTGCAAAGCTAGAATCCCTGCTTTCAAGCAACTGTCCAATTCCAATATGATATATATATATATATATATATGTGTGTATATACTCCTGAATAACTGTATCAGCTTGGAATGTCCTAGATTGTCCTAGCACTCCTAATATTTCAATCATACCCATGCCACTCCTGGACCAAGCTCAGGCATGCCTTTGCTGGCTATTTCAACTCAAGCCTTTGGTTCGGTTCAATCCTCCATGCTTGCTCTCTCGCTTTCTCTCGCTTTTTCTCTCTCTCTCTCTCTATCTCTGATCCAGTCCACCTTGTGCACGCGCCGCACAAAGTCTTTCCAAAGCAAGAAGTCGAAGTGAAGCTGTCCGTCCCTGGAGGTAAACATTGCCCAACAGTAAGGTTGAACATTCTCGCTGGTTGCAACTGTGTCAACACTTTGTTGTTCATGCTGATCTTTTTGTTGTGGCAAAACCAGCAATGCGGCAACATGGTGCAACAATCTACCAAAGTGTGGGCACGTACTGTACTTAGAAGTGCACCAATGCTATCACCAATGTCCCATTGTGCCTGCAGCAGGCCTGCACATGCAAACCATTGCAAATGAAAGATTGAGCGTGACAAAGCATTATTCGATGAAGCGTGATTCTCCTGAGCCCCCATCAACACCAAACACATCTGTACATTCTCAGAATAGCGACTCAGGGGTTTCCAACAAAACAGTGTTGACCCATGTTGACCCATAAAAGGAATCCATTTGACTACCTGGTACAACTGCTACAACGCCTCTGTGTGTTGCCCTTGCTGTACAAAGTCGCAAAGCTTTTCTAGGAGCTGCTGCTCCGCGGTCGACCTGCAGCAAATGTCTGGGCTGTGTCATCCCTGCAGCATCAGCATCACATCAAAGGTGCTTGACTTTGCGGTTTACTTTGCCAAAAGCTAGGGTCAAGCCCAAATCAGGCAGCGTTGATGTAAAAAACGCTGTATGCTTTGAAGGCCGGGCCGTTTGCTTCATATGTGTGGTTCCTCTTTGCAAACTTATAAACGTCCTTAAACATCTATGTGACCAGTGACCAGTGCCCAGGTTGATCTGTTTGCCCTTTGCCAACCTTCGATATGGTTGCAGAAAGGCGTCGCCGGTGCCGCCCCCCAAGAGTCTGTCCACGAGAGGAGGTCTCTCGGGTGGGATTGGCCTTGCATTCGGCGTTGGAAGAACAGCATGCTGTCACTCTCGAATGAAGGCATCCTCTTTTCTCATGGAAGCTCTTTGATTGCGTTTCAAGGACAAATACATTGGCCCTTGGCCTTTTGAAACAAGCTCTTCTTTGTGCATTAAGCTCAAACATGATCGAACCAAACGAATGCATGTACCGTCAAAACCCGCCTCGGTTTGTTCCTCGCAAAGTTCTCCCGTTGCTGCTGGTCCTCATGGGACTCATAATTGATGAAAGGAAGACAATACAAAGCCGGATTAAAGTTCCCGCGGTTCGCACTTCGTCCGCACAATCAAGAATCCTGCAAGTCACACTTGTTTGCCACAAAGAGGACGGGGCATCTGCCACCCAGAATTCCCTTGGGCATCAGCACAGGAAAGCGAAATTCGAAGCTGGCAAACACCAGCCAACAGCTCAATTTGCTTCAAAGTTTCAGCTGGCTTGGGCAATACCAAATGCAACACGACCAAACGAGAGACGCTGGAAAGCTGAGCCTGTTCACTTGACCTTGAGTCACCAAGCTCCAGGTCCATGTCAGGCTGGCCACCACCTTCGAGGGATCTTTGTCTTTTGAATCTGATAACAAATCTTTAACAACACAACTCCCATTCGCCAGCGAATAACTTTCCTCAATTTACATAATCCAGCGGAAACGTTTCCAGGCAGTTCTTATGATTTCACCTCACTGGCACAGGCCCGGACTTCCTCCGCCTGCATCCCAGTACTTCAGGGAGGGAGGCCTCACCTAAGTGAGGGCAACTTGAGTTCATCTGAGAAAGCTGAGCATTGTCCACGCACTAAAGCAGCCCACGATCCTGTTGTTTTTGGGTTGGCAGGTTGGCAGGGTATGACCTTTTCTTCGGGAACATTCATGAACCGATTCCGGCTCAGACACCTGCCCACATATAGTGACAGTGTGTACGTGTGTGTGTGTGTGTCAACGCCTGTTTCCAAGGAGCAAGACCACATTCAGTCACGTCGACGTTAATGGATTTACCACTTGTACAGCTTAGCAGTGGGCTCGCTGGGGATTCGTGCAGTCAGCGACCAACGAAGACGCTGGAAGACGCTGCACGTTTCCTGTGAAAACGTACTTGCCGTGGGGCACCTGGGTGCTTAGTAAGTCGCAGCTGGTAACCACAGTTTTCCTCTCCTTTTCTTCTTTTTGAGCTGTTGTCCAAGTTTTTCACACCACTTTTCCATAAAGGGCTACCGCGTGATGTTAAACATTTCGGTTCTGCGGACTCTCTCGCCTTTCTGTTCCCTCAGCCAAGGTCTAATTGTGTGTAAAGGTCTACTTGCAGTACAGTAACGCTGGAGTTACCAAACTGATAGAGCTCTTGCAAACATGGATCTAAGTCTGTCTCGCAGCATCGTCCCACTGCGGTGTGCTGTGTGATCCCTTGGGGGCGCGTTGAGCATAGACCCTTAAGGGGGATTACTACCGGTTTTTCACCTTTGCATGATTCTTCACTGGCTTTGCGTCTTACTCGAAATCGCTGATATCATGCTGCAGAGCTCACTGAGATTTCACGCACCACGCTGCTAAGTATTCACTTGCTTCACCCTGAGTAACTCATGCACGGTCTTGATTCTCTCCTTCCAGGGTTCTTTCGTTTCTTTCCAGGCTTGGTTCCTTGCTAGAGGTTTTTTAGGTTTCCGGCTAACTTTTCGAGTCACGGGAGCGCCGGTTTCGGTTTCACGCCACACCCCACACCCCCTTCCTCTCCTTGCTTTCTTTTTTTTGTTAGGTCTTCTCTCAGGCAATCGCCGCTGCATTAGACGCTTATTGCATTAGCCGCGTACTGCAAAACAAAGAATGAGACAGCTTTGGCCATACGTAGGTTCATTGGTTAAAATGCAGGTACACACGGGTGATCAAGCCGTGCTTCCCATTCCAAGGCATAGCTTCGTCGCGCTGAGTTTGCCAAGGAGTGCCAATGCCCCTGCTGGTGAACACTCTTAGAAATAGAGGTGGGCACACACACCAAACACTTAGTCATTGGGTTTTCAGTTAACTCTGTTCCACGAAAAAAAGGAATGAGGGAACGGAACGGCGATGGAGTCAGCTCACTTGAATAGTCGGAAACACTGTTCTTGCGCGACTGCAGAAAGCGGCGGCGGCGAGCTCAGCGGCAGGAAAATTGGGTTTATGGGGAGTATCGTGAAATCACCACGGAATCAAAAAAGGGGAAAGTGGAGTCACAGCGCGCGCAAAAAGTTCCATCAGTGCAGGTATAGGTGGATGATCAGTCCACCCTTCGCTCGTCATACCGTAGCTTCGTTGCGTACGGTGGGTATGACGAGCCGTACGCCCCTGCAAAGTAGTCATAACAATCGTAACTCCTAGGAACGGAGTGTGACACACACACAAACCGCCGATGTTCGGCGCTCGTTAGCAGCAGGGTGAAATCTTTTCCGCTTTTCAAAAGCCTTTGGCAGTCAGTTGCTGCGCGCCCTTTTTGACTGTACAAGTTGATCAGGATCTCCGCAGCGGCTTCTCATCAACAGTGGAGACAAACCTGAAAAAGGATGTCGAGTCATACCATGTAGTGAATAATCATCGGAGCCTTCACATGAAACTAGCTGTGCATGCGATGTCGTGAAAAATGGCGGAAATCTCTTGAACCTTGCAGAACGTGAAATCAATGAATAGACTCCGTAAGCGCGGCCGCTCTGCGATCAGACAATTCATGGGTGAGACAATGGGATTACAGAACCATAATCCAACGCGCGCAGAAAAACGCTGAATCAAACTGTGATCCACGATGGTCTCGGCGCCTCTCTTGCGAGAGGATCACGCTGTGTACCCAGTGGGAAGACACAGCGATACACACTTCGTCATTGGGTTTTCAGTTAACTCTGTTCCACGAAAAAAGGAATGAGGGAACGGAACGGCGATGGAGTCAGCTCACTTAAATAGTTGGAAACACTGTTCTTGCGCGACTGCAGAAAGCGGCGGTGGCGAGCTCAGCGGCAGGAAAATTGGGTTTATGGGGAGTATCGTGAAATCACCATGGAATAAAAAAAGGGGAAAGTGGAGTCACAGCGCGCGCAAAAAGTTCCATCAGTGCAGGTACAGGTGGATGATCAGTCCACCCTTCCCTCGTCATACCTTTAGCTTCGTTGCGACGAGCCGTACGCCCCTGCAAAGTAGTCGTAACAATCGTAACTCCTAGGAACGGAGTGTGACACACACACCGAATCGGCGCTCCCCTTCGTGCTTTTTTCCGCGGGAGGAAGGGGGGGTTGCGTCGACTAAACATTGAACTTTATGCTCATTCATTTGAGTCATGAGTCTAAGTGTGACCAGCTGCATCTTCCCACTTGGGTGCGCAGTGCGATCCCCGATTGGGGCGCCGGATTTCGCGGCTGAAATTTGCTGATCTATCCTTGCCTGCCGCAGGCCGTTTCCTGAACCTTTGGGCGCCTCCGGAAACAGCTGACCAAATGCCGCCGAGCTTACGGAGACATTTCAGACACTCTTCCAAGCTGAGTAATTCACTGCATGCCTCGATCTCCGTTCGTTCCCAGGTTTTTCGTCTAGAGGGCGCCGGAATTGGCTTTACGACCGGGTGTTGATTATACAATTATACACACCCCGGCCCCCCACACCCTCTTTCTCTCTTGCGTTGTCTTTTCTTTGTTGGGCTTTTTCCTCAGGCTTGTTAGGTCGCTTTTGAGGCTCGTTTCCCCGACCCACTACCCCCGCCGAGCGATTGCGAACTTAAGTAATGCCAAAGCTGTCTACTGCTTTGATTCCTCCAGCAATAAAGGGCTAAAGCATCTGTGAGTAACCTTTAGAACCTAAGTAACGCCAAAGCTGTCTACTACGTTGCTTCCTCCAGCAAAAAAAGGGCTAATGCGCCTGCGAGTAACCTTGAGAACCTAAGTAATGCCAAAGCTGTCTACTGCGGTGTTTCCTACAGCAAAAAGGCTAATGCATCTGTGGGTATCCTTTAGAACCTAAGTAATGCCAAAGCTGTCTACTGCGGTGTTTCCTACAGCAAAAAAAGGGCTAACGCATCTGTGAGTATCCTTTAGAGTCTAAGTAATGCATAAATCTGTCTACTGCGCTGTTTCCTACAGCAATAAAGGGCTAATGCACCTGCGAGTAACCTTTAGAACCTAAGTAATGCATAAATCCGTCTACTGCGTTGTTTCCCTTTTAAAGCGCTACTGCTATGCACTTTGGCGCGCTGCTATGCGGCTGTTTGTGCGTGTCCACCTCTGTTTCTAAGAGTGTTCACCAGCAGGGGCACTGAGCGCTCCTTGGCAAGCTCGGTGCAACGAAGCTATGCCTTGGAGTGGGAAGCACAGCTTGATCACCCGTGCCTGCCTGCATTTTAACCAATGAACCTACGTATGGCCAAAGCTGTCTCATTCTTTGTTTTGTAGTAAGCGGCTAAGCGTCTAATGCAGCGGCGATTCAGTAACTGAACTTTATGATACTTTACGCTCATTCATTTGAACTATGAGTCTAAGTGTCAACGCCTGTTTCCAAGGAGCAAGACCACATTCAGTCACATCGACTTTAATTGTACAGCTTTGCAGTGGGGTCGCTGGGGATTCGTGCAGTCAGCGACCAATGAAGACGCTGCACGTTTCCTGTGAAAACGTACTTGCCTGGGTGCTTAGTAAGTCGCAGCTGGTAACCACAGTTTTCCTCTCCTTTTCTTCTTTTTGAGCTGTTGTCCAAGCTTTTCACACCACTTTTCCATAAAGGGCTACCGCGTGATGTTAAACATTTCGGTTCTGCGGACTCTCTCGCCTTTCTGTTCCCTCAGCCAAGGTCTAATTGTGTGTAAAGGTCTACTTGCAGTACAGTAACGCTGGAGTTACCAAACTGATAGAGCTCTTGCGAGCATAGATAATATGCCTTTCTCGGGTGAAAGGACAGGAGCGGCGCCGTGATGCTGATGCTGACAAACAAAACGCTGGTGATGGCTTCAAAGCCACGAGAGAAGCATGTGAAGCTGCTGTTAAGTTTAAACCAGAAAGATTGTATTGGCATAATGATACTTTTCTTGCTGGAGTTGCTAGAGTTGCGTCTGTCAAAAAGGGTGGAACCGAGTTAACCAGCAATTTCATGAGATACTTGGCAAGCATTGAGCTACAGATCAATACTTTCTTGGCTGCTTCAAAGGTGTACGGTGTACATCATTACATCAATAGGTGCACGAGCAACATGGTCTCGAGCACTATAGAGGTGTCCAGCAGGCTGATATCCCGAGTCACGCATAACTATATAAACGCTGAAACGCGAGCCCTTTAAGCCCAGGGCCAAAGAGCAAAGCTCGAAAAGCCATGCCACAAGCCCGTGGTAGGACCTGAATAAGCATTCAAGTACATTCCACGAAACTAAATGCGGGCACATTTGAAACTCAGATTCACTTTTATCTACGGTCAAAGGTGCAGCTTCTATTATCTTGCTCAAGTTTTGGGCTTCATGTTGGACATGTCGTACACAAGCAACACCTCAGGCACAAACAACGGACCCCAGTACAAAGCAGCACAACAAAGGGCAGCAACCCCGGGCAACCAGCAGTTCAATTTTGAGAGATCTCAAGAACCTGGTGAGTATATTTCCACCCTCTTTGACCTGAGGATTCTGTGGTTCTGCATTCGACACAGCGCAAGGCTCTGGCAGCATCTAAGGCGTCGTAGAAAACGGGCCGTGCACCTGAGAGTGTGAGTGAGACCAACATGTTTTGTGCAGGGCAGTCTCACGTGCTTCATGAATGCTGTGAGAAGTCATGAATTCTTTGAGAACTGATGCGCAAAGTGCTGGACAGGAGTAGGTCTTTGTACCCCCAACTTCCCACCTCAGTTCAAGCCATCAAGTCACCAGCGCTGTGACGACTTTGTTTCAAGCTCAGTAGATGCCTGTCACTTCAACTCAGCCATTGACAACTCGACCTTACTAAGCTATTTCAAGATTTGGCCAAGGTGTTTTGCCTCCTTGATTTGTCCAATTGTATGGATGTCTCAACAGTCACTTTGTCACCAGGGGGGAAGCCTCCACTTCCAAAGGCCTGAAATCTGCATCCACCTCAATCTCAGTAAAAAAAAGTCATATATATACTTGAACAGTTACAATGACAGGATCATGCAACTGAAGTGAGTTCAAGGTTCATTGCAAAGCTTGAATAAAAGGTGCTTGGGTGCTCCACCATCTCTCTGAGTATGGACAACTTGCACCCACATGTCCAATCCTCTCGATCATCGGGTTCTACTCATTGGAAACAGTGTATCCGAAATGTTGAAGGTCTTTGTGCGCAATCTGTTCACTGCTCATGCATTGAAAGACACGGGCTCGTCGAGGGAAATGCAAGACAATCTGCAACGAACATCAACAATCAACCCAAGTCTTTTTGCCGCCGAGACGTCTGCTCATGTGCCTTAGGTCCAAGAACAGGGTAATGGAGGCAACAAGACATATGCAGCAATCTTGTGAAACAGCCAGCGTGAGGAAGGAAAATGTGATGATGAGTTTGTTCCACATTGGACCAAGCAGCAAGTGGTAGAAAAATCACATGTTAGCCACTGAACATGGGCTTCAGCCTCGAGGAAGTCGAAGTAAAATGCTTGAATGGAAACAATTTCAAGCTTGTTCCTGGCCAAAGAACATCTGGGCCCAGTCGGGCAAGCCAGTCTCCTCCAAGGCGGTTTTTAACATCCTGCAAAGCCAAAAGGCCATGTGCGTTCAAAACAGTTCCAATTATCTGGAAGACGGCAAAAGTGGTGGTAGTGGTGTCAGCAAATGTTGTCTTGGATTGAAGGTCTGAACTCCTTTCCCACTCAGCTGTTTGCCTGATAGTCGACTGATTTGAGGCACGATCTGCCACGAGGCACACTGCCTTGGAAGTTTGCGTGGTCCAAAGGCCAAAAAAGGATTAGGGCAGTCGCCAACCAATAGCGGTACTATGGTACTATCTACAAGGCGCAAAAGGACAATACGAACCCTTTCCGACCGACCAGACTGGCCTCAAACACAAAAGCCCCTACAGTGGCTGATTAGGCACTTGCGAGTGCACAACTACAGTGAAAGCGTGCAAATAGCGCTTTGAGGCGGAACCACTGCCATCCAGAAACTCAAGAATGCCCAGGTGCTGGGCTTCGCTGAAAATCGCTTTCACCAGCAAAGCTGAAGGCCTGGATGGCAGCACCAGCCTGACGACCCCAAAACAGGATGGTGGAAGGCACCAGGCAGCACCAGGCCGCACGTAGGAAAGACTTTCTGTGACATTATGGCAAAGGTGCATGCATTCCTTGAGGCACCAAGGAGCCAACCTGCACCGCAGCATCAAACGCAGCCTTCGGCCCTCGCAGCATGAAGAAGGGGGCAAATGCTGCGAAGGTCTCAAAACCAAGCGCCTGTCATCATTTGAGGAACGTCTTCAAACACGCCCAAATCAGAAAGTACATACGACCTTATCTTCGGCCTCCAGCTGATTCCGCAACCAAAGCTGCTCGTCATTGTAGAACCTCAGCACCTGCAAGAGTTCAAACGGCCCAACGGCTGGTTTTGAACGTCCTTAATTAATATCAACCAACGGACCTCCTTGCGATGTTCGGCTGAGAGTGGCCCCTTGATGGCGGCCAAAGCACCTTCCCCAAAGCATGTTATATAATTCCTAAAGTGTCACTGCTTTGACGTTCAGCCTAGACTGCTTCAACGTTGCAATCGGAAATGCGACTGGTTCTGCGTGTGTGCCTTAATTGTTCCAGAGCTCCAGAGCTCTCTCGTGCTGGACATATGATTCGATGCTGATGTGTTTGACGTGGCTTTGTGGAAGTAGTCGCAAGTAACAAAAGTGCATAAAACATGTACCCTCAAATAGACTTCACGCAGTTGCGCCTGTCAGAGCCATCTCTGAAATGTAGAGGCCACCAGAGAAAGGCAAAGTCTCCTTTCAGCATTGCGGCCAAGTGCCCAGTTCTTTTTGGTTTCTTGGCTTCTTGGTTTCTTTTCAATAAATCCCTCGCCATTTGAAACCGTCACCCCGCACCCCATATCCCTGGCTCCGCAATGAGATCCGCAGTAGTAGAAGTGCTCTTGGCATAGCCCAGGCGCAAGCCAGCTAGACCTTCAACCTTAGCTCCAGCAGGCTCCTTGCCTCTTTGAGTGCATGGCTGCATCATTCTTTGGTTGGGAGAGATCCCTTAATCAAATCTTCAGCTTTGATGACTTGCAAGCCCGCCCTGGCCTTGGATAAAGAACGGATCAGCACCACGTTGTCATTGAACTTGGCACGTGGCGCTCTGCAAAAAGTATTCAAGCCTACGATTCTCATGATTCTGATGAAGTTTTGCATCACATCAACTGTCTGCCTGGGCCAAGGTCTCTAAAATGTCATCGTCCTCTGTCCACTCCTGTTGCAGGGAACGAGCATGATAGTCTCCCTGCAAGTCCGACATAGGTGTCACAAGCTTCCCAACATTGAATGTAAAGCCCCGACCGTAAAGCCCAAATAGGTCTGATCCACCGCCACAAGTGTTCGAGAGAAATCGCCACTGGCCAGGAGGTCCCGAAGCTCTGCAGCAAAATTAGACTCCTTTGCTCCTGGTGCAAACAGTTCGCGGCATCAACTGCATGAACATCTTGCTAAAAACTATGACTATATGCCTCTAAAACAAGAAACTGGACAGAAAGTGTATGTGCATACATATATATATATGTATATATGCATATATATTATATTAAATATTATATATATATATATTTACAGTACAGGTTTTCAGAAATTCAGAAATTGTTAATTTCCGAATGTCCGCCAAACTATGTAAACAAATTCAGAAATTGTCGATTTCCGAATGTCCGCCAAACTATGTAAAAAGTAAAGTTGTTGTTCAAACATTCAGAAATTGTTTATCTCCGAATTTCCGCCAAAAGTAAAGTTGTTCAGAAATTCAGAAATTGGTAATTTCCGAATTCAGAAATCCGAATGTCCGAATTTCCGCCAAAAGCATTTCCCACAAGCCTTGAGAATCTCCTACAGACTGTAGCTCTTGGATTCACCCAATATATATATAACCAATAGCTGCCAATTGCCCATATTGTAGAAAGAGAAAGGTCCCAATTACCTCAGTGTAGGAATAATCAGCAGAAGTGTAGCTGCTGGACACTCCCAGTGCCACGATCGTACGATGAACACGTGATTTGCATACAAAGGGGACCACTGACTGCTGATGCTCAAGCAGCTGGCCATGCTTTCAGTCATTGGTTCTTCAGCAACCCAATGAACATGCCCACAAGCCCGTCCAGTGGGGAAGTGCGGGTGGACCAAGTACACCATTGCAGGAGCTTGGCCTCCAGGCACTTGATGAATGTGGCACCACAAAGAAACCAAACTGGTAGGCTGAATATATTTGACGTACGTCAATTGGATCATAGTGTTCTTGTGGGAAGCATCTGCAATTGACATGTGTTCTGATTGTCTGCGAAATGTGCGTTTCTCGGATCACAAGCTGCAGTCTCAGTTGCTGTCTATTTGTTCTCGCAGCTTTGGCCAGAAGTTGGGAGCTCCATGTGTGGGGTCCGGATAGGGCACCTGACCCACGTGGCCGATTGAAGTGGATGACCTATGCAGCCTTTGGAAAGCACTCTGTTTGTGAATCTTGTTCAACTCACTGAGCCTGTGAACAAGCCAGTGTCCTGTCACATTAGCTGTGCATGCTATGGCGCTGAATCGATGCGGTTCATGCCACCGGAACGCAGCAGCAATGTGGCATTCGGCCAAGACGGACCTGCTCAAGAGGCATTCTTTCACGCCGAGAGAAGCACGGACATCCAAATCCCCAACCTCACCTTGCATAAGGGCCACTGCAGGGGCTCCTGAATAGTGCAATCAAACCACACAAGTGCTGCGTGCTCATCAAAAAGCAACTGGAATATTGGCTCTACAGGATGTGTAAAGTATGTGTATATATATACATGTATATATCAAATTTGTTCGCATAGGTATGACACTACACAAAGAAACTCTTCGGGCAAAACTGGAAGGCAAAGTTTGAGAGCGGAAAGCTTATAGGTGCAGAAGCAGTTGGTGGGGAACACAATCCGAGGTGTGAATCTGGTTTTGTTATATTGCACGTTTGAAACATGCCTACTGTACTTCAAGATATGCAAATGGTCTGTGTGACATGCAAACATCTACCCTATACATATATATATATATATATCTGTGTGCAGCACAGCTACCGCGCCCTCTGACGCCTGCACGTTTTGCAGCCACCAAGGCCGTACGTAGAATCACGTCTGAAGCTCCATGCGCCCAAACCAAGCGATCAGGAGCAGTATTCAAAGCGCTGGCTAAAGCCTGGCAGCCAAACCCCAAAAGTACAAGTACACATGTTTTTATGTGTTGCCTGTCCTCCATGTCCTACCTACATCTGTACTGCATTTGGACAGCTTTTTGTGCATTGAATTGTGCCTTGTAGGTACGTGGCCGACCATCAACAGGGTAAGCCGCCGCATCCTTCGAGGCGCCTTTCAGCGCCCAGGCAACATCCAAAGAGCAGCCGAGGACACTGGCACCGCGCGCACTCGTGGAAGTGAAGGTCACCTCAGGCCTCACAGGAAATTGCTATGGAATGCGTCAGGGGCTTTTGCCTCCCACTGGTTGAAAATCTTCTAGGAGTCTCTCAATAAAGCATGGGCAAATTGTCTCCTGCCTGCCAACTGGAAAAATCTGGCCATGTGCCTCTCTATGAGGCAGTGACCATAAATCACAGATCTCCCTCTCCTCGGAAGGTTGGCCAACTTCTTGGCTCCCTTGCTGCATTTTGGGGCTGCATACCGACGAAAAGTGACAGCAAAAGACATGCTTCGGAGTTCAATTTTTTGACGAGGTTCAAGCTTGCTTCTCATGTCTGGATCCAGCGCCGGATCCAAGGCAATCCTGATTCCGGAAAGGCAGACAAGGTCAGCCCGCAAACTCTTTCTTCACCCCTCATACTTTCTGAGTAGATTCATTCATTGACGACCACCTCAATGAAAACGTCACGGACGAATAGAATGCATGCTCTGAATATTTGTACCTCCGTCACCAGCCTGAGTGCTTCTTCCGTAAGCCGTAGACCATAGACAGTGCAGGAGTGCCGCAACTGATGGGCCAAAGCCTTCCAAGCAAATCAGAATGCAAAGCTTAGGCCCAGGCGGCCCAGGCCAGGGTTTCTTTTGAGGAGAGAGTCGGAGAGAGGGGAAGTCTTTGAGGCCCGTGCAAAGAGTCAGGCACCAACTGCCACACCGAAAGGCAATTCCTTGTCCCTGTTTCTAATAGCTTCTTGTTACTACTAGTAAGGCACTTGTTACTAGAAGCGATGCACTTGTTCCTAGTAGCGTTCAACTGATCGTATTTAACCAGCCAAAACCTCAGTCATGCAAGTCTCCTAAAGCAATGGCATCTTCACATGTCGGAGATCTCCACAGAGGCCTGTGTATACTGTTCGACAAAGGCACTTGCCTCGCGCAAATCCCCGAGCAAGAACGGGTTTCTCGCTTTAGCTCATCTCACTGGGTCAGGAAAAGTGACAACCCACGACAAAACTTGCATGGCTGCGGGAAAAAACAACCTGCCGAGGCACCAAAGCAGCCATTCCACCATGTGTTGTCGTCCAGGTGGAGGGACTGGCAAATGCCAAATCTGAGGACCTATGTGCGACTCGCATCAAGTCTCGCAATTGGCATGTCAGACGCGCATTTCTGGACAACAAACACACCGAACACGCAGATCGTGACAATCACCCTCTTATTACCTTTGCCTGTCTACCCAATCTGGGTCGCCAACCATGTCAGCAGCCGAGCACCAGGTTGCATGTGTGGCACCAAGCCGGCCACCAAGACCGTGAGGGAACGCAGGCTTTCCTCAGCAAGTGTGGAAACCCACTTGCACCCAGTTCGCGCAGAAAGGTAAGCACACCTGTGTAAAGCGGCTTCGAAGGTACTATGGATGCATGTTCATTCTTTCGCACTTCATGGACAGAAATGGCGCGTTCTAGCTGGTTGCTCTGTGCTCTCCTTCCGTCTTCCATTCGAGACACATCGAGGGATACAATAGCAGCCGACGATGCCAGAGAAGAGCTCGCAGACGAGGCCGCTCCTGCACTGGATGAAATTGGTACTCGGAAGGAATTACTCCCGCAAAGCACGTTTGCACACCACGCTGCCCTAGGGGCGTTTGTTCAGTATTTCACTCCATGGATGAACACGTACTGACAAGCTGCGGAGCTTTCTTCCGGGTCGCCACACGCATGGGGGCGTAGTTCCCGACTCCGAGTGATTTAAAAGTGGTAGGAAGTGGGGCGAGCACCCAAACGACTCAAATGCAGGGATTTGACTTCACGGAGGTCTCTGCCTACCCACCCCGCAGCGAGCAACTACAGGGCGGGCAGGGTTGGGTGAAAAAGCCTGGCAAGAAGTGTTTTGCCAAAATGGCATCAGATCGACGAGCGTCAAAACTCCAGTTAAGGAAAGCTGAACAGTTGTCCGGAAAGTGACCCTCATGTACATACCCATGAGACCAGGAGAGCGACTCTCAATACAACACCGCTGTCCTAGGGGCGTTTTGTCACGAATATCTTCTGAAAAGCAGCGGAGACTTTTAAACAGAACTTTCCTTTCATTGAGATCTGGATCCAGGATACCCTTGATGTCATCCTCGAGCTCAGATTTCCTACTTTGTATGATCTCGAGCATCCGGTCGACTAGGTTTTAGTGATTATAGGTCACCTCAAACACGGCCGGCATCAAGGACAACAGGAGCTTCTACAATCAAGGGCCAGGGCAGCCGGGAAGACCCAAGTTGCCAGTGCGTTCTGAGCCACTTCAACAGCCGAATTGATCGACGCAAGCTGACGGCAGTCTAAATCCACACTTTCGCCATATTTATTGAACGATGCGAGACTGAACGACTGGAGCCCCTACAATTCCGAATAAATGTCGGCTGTACTTGCACTCGGCTGACAAGTTCGAACGAGTGGCCTACCACGACAAACTCAAGAAGGCAGGTTTACCAGACTCAGGATCCAGACTCTGCATCCACATGAGAATTGAAGGCAGCGCGGGTATTGAGAGGGTTGCGCCTCAAGTTGGCAGGCGCCATATTCCCCCAACGAAAGGCCCTCAACCGCGGCGAGCAGCCTGCTCCTGTTGACGACGGAGCTTCCGAGGCCGGTGTCTTGTTCATGTGGTTGAGAAAGCTCTGAGTTTCTTGCAGAACTGGTGCGGCTGAAGAACCTTGTGGTGGCCCACCTGCTGGAGGTGGTGGCGGAACAGCATGAAGCAGCAGCGCTCTGTGTAGACTCTGGAGCATGCTGCTGATCATCATCCGTTCTTGACCAGAAACTGACCGAGGCGGGCATGGCTTTAACCTTCGGCTCTGGTCTGGATTGATCAGCCGTCTCGCCAGGCCCAAATGAAACGTATATAACTGAAAAAGCCTGGCGAGAAGCTTTTAGCCAGAATGGAGTCAAATCAACGAGCGTCAAATCTTGAACAAGTTGTTGCACTCTCGATTCCATCGAAAAGGAAAACTGAACAGTTGTACGGAAAGTGACCCTCATGTACGTACCCGCCAGACCAAATAAATGAGACCAGTATCACCAAAAAAATATGCAATCGTTTTTGCATGCCCTGACAATATTTGGGCATCTGAATCTGCCACACACACAAACACACACTCTCAACCTGGTGTTTTTTCATTGGATACGAATACCTGATTGTCTATGGTTTTAGCTGATTGGTAGATCTTTTTGTGGATTCACCTGTGTCTGTTTATTCAGTCTCTTGCAACAGGTGCCTGTCCAGCTTTGCAACCAATCTTTTGAAGGAATGAATCTCAAGAGCCGCCTCCAATGTGGAGCAAACCTGCAATTTCCTGACCAGGGTGTTCCCTTTCAGTCTTGCGTATAAGATCTTCCACGTCCTGCGGGCCGAAAGTAGAAAGCAATGACTTCTCAACAAGAATGAGGGAAAACCATGGAGCGTGGAGGCTTCAAAAGGATCATGGACATGTGCATGTCTCACAGTTTCTGGCAAGAGGTACTTCATGGATGTCTTGTTCCCCCCCCTCCCTCTCTCTCTCTCTCTATCTCTCTCTCTCTCTCTGTCTCTCTCTCTCTCTCTCTGTCTATCTCTCTCTCTCTACTTTGGTGGTGGAATGCTATGTGTCAACTTTGAACACACCTCTCCTCCGGGCTGCTGAAAGTTCCCGGCACATGCAGCACACGGCAGTTCCGTGGAGTGGACAAATCAGCCAGGGCCGGGGAGCCGCCTGTGACCAGCAGCACTCCGCTGGGCCCTGAAACAAGCTAGAAAAAAGAGAGTATATAAAAGTATGCAGACACAGAAGCCGACTTTCACAAACTATTTTTCCTTTCACCGACCACATCCGCGAAAGAGATATTGGTACCTGAGAGTATGCGGTTCTTGTACCCCACCTTCCGTCTCTGCCACTTCCGCTCTAGTGGCATTTTGCCGCACGCCGCGGCGAGCCCAAGCGGACAGCCAGGCAGCCTGGACCTAAGCGAGAGGGCACTTGCCGAATAACAAAACTTCTCTGGATTTATATATTCATATATATATATATTCCTTCAAAACTGCCGGGATCCCAAGAATTGTGACGATTGTAAACAATTGTAAACACATGCAAAGAGTGCAAAGAGTGCCATGCTTTAAAACAGACTTTTTGTATGAAGCTCAAATCCTGCGATGCAACCAGTGTGAAACTTCAACTCACGGTAGAACCTCTGCTTAACTCAGGCAGCTACTCCACATGCAGCAGGCTGCAACCTTCTCAGTAACGATTTGCTCTCACCAATGCTGCTCATTGCACTGATAACACGTGGCTGCATCCGGACTGGCCTTGCACAGCAATGGGCGCAGAGACTAGATTTATAAAGAAGAAAGGATGTCCTAAAGCATCCGTCTTTTGTTTGGAGAGTTCGCTGCGCTTTGTTTACGAGCCTGTGCAAGGCCTTGGGTTTGGGCAAGCCCAATTCAATAGCCATCGCCATGGCGACAGGTCAAAGATGGTCAAAGCTAGAGAGCTAGGGAACAAGCACATGACAAAGCCCTCTAGGACGCATGAAACTTGAGTTGTGAATTTGTCATTGAACACGACAAAACATAAGTATCAGTTCGAGTTGTCATAGAGGTGGGAACAAAAATCCGAGTCATGCCTTCAAATTTTTCCGTGTCTGCCTTTTCTGAGTCAGGAATTCAGATCCTGATCTTTAGCATAAGTACTATGGTTGAAGAGTTGAAAATGGTACCTGGTACTTTCAAGTTTGAACCTGTAAGGTGGGCCTAGCACATTTTAACATGGACCCCCAAAGTCACAGTTCTGGCCATAACCCTCTATACTGAGTGGGAAGCAATGCTTCCAACTCAATGAGAAACACATCAGGGTTAGTGCAACAGAATTCTTGGTCCTGCTGCGTGTCAGTGCCTGGAAGGGGCAACAAAAGTTCTGAAGCACCACGGCCTGCCATGTGTCACCACAGCAACATGTTTCATTTTCTGTTCGGCTTCAAGACGGTAGACAGGACTTTGTAGCAGAACCAGGAAACAAGGCAATGGATTTTGCTATTTTGTGCCATCTGATACTCTACAAATTGTTGTCTGGAAAAGTGTTTACACGTATCAATGACTCTAGGACTCTAGGAAACCATATCCGAATAAAGTTACAGAACGCTAAGCACTGCAAGTTTGTTGAAATATCGTCATACCTGCGCATGTCATGTTGAATTGTTGAACTTGTCATGAACCCCACTCCTTTCACATCTCCTAATGTTATTTGGATCTAGTGGTTTGGCGTGTTGTGTTTTCTGTGTGTTTGATTCTTGTTGTGTTGTTGCTGTCAGCCAGGCTGTAATCTTCTTGTGGGCCACAATGATTTGCAGGACACCAGTCCACTGGAACGCAAAAGTAGTGAGAAAAAAAACGGGAAACCACTTCCAACCACGGACGGTCAATTATATAACGTGGAAGGGACTCGGCTCAGTTCCAAGTCTTCTGAGACAAAGGAAATTGGTGAAATTGGTAATCTCCTGTAGTTGCTGTTCTTATAACAGCCATCCACCCTTGGTTTTTCAATGATGTGTGCTATTTCTTGTGCGTCGCTAGCAGCTCGCAGCGAGTGACCCAAGCCTACCTTCGAGTTCTCCCTCTCCCCCCCGGTGTGTCTTGGGTCGTGGGCTGTCCCGTCTTGTCCTTCTGTCTTTTGTTCCCAGGTTTGACCAAGACGGTAGGTTGCTGGTCTTCCCAAATCGTCGCCACAGGTGCTCCTTGAGTCTGGGTCTGCCTCCCGGTGCTAATCAGGTTGTCTTCTCCATCTTTGTGTCTCCTAAGGTCTTTCTACTTTCTAGTGTAGGTGGCCCGGTCCCTCAAAGGTTGCGTGTTTTCCCTTTTGCCTTTGTCTTCGGCCTTTCTTCTCTCTTCTCTCTTCTCCGTATTTCCTCGCCCGAATATATATGTTGTTTCTTCTGGAAGCCAGACTTGATCACTCCAGTGTACCTGCTGAGATGATGACCTTTCAATTCCCACTGGGCCCCGTTGTTATTAGAGCAATATGCTGCTGGCCTTGCTTCTGTTCTTCATAGGAAAACATGCCCTCGCCGTTCAACCTTTGAGTTTCTAGAACTGGACCTTAGCGTCTTGTAACGTGAGTTTGCACTTTCTTGATTTCTTGAGCTTGAAGGTGGTTAACCCCGCTGCGCTACTTAGGTTATTCTCTTTTGCTTCGGTTTCTTCAGGGCCCGTGGCATCGTATGTACTCTATCGTATCTCAAGTGTGTAATTGCCACCTTCATCGCAGAGCGCCTTGTGTTATTTTCTAATGTAGAACACGGACATGAGAAGCAATTTGTGGCATGTACCGTATGGTGGGGGGGAAGGGTGAGGGGGTAGGCTAATGGTGCAAGTGCTCTACCACCTACTAATTACATGCCATGCTTTGCCAACAGGCTTAGTCCCCTTTGACATCATTTCCAGCAACACCAGGGGAAGTTGCACAATGGGTGCTTGGGAGTGAGGGAAGCACAACACTCTTCAGCTCGATTTGGCTGAGTTTGGTTGGGCCCCGATGTTGGAAGTTGGGAGTAAGGTTCTTGGAATCACCATCGAGAAACATCCTTAGCAGGCTGCCCTTTGCGTACCAAAGAAGCGCAATGATTGCCAACCGCACATCACTAATTGGTCCCAGTTTAGCTCAAGGAAGCGAAAGCCCTAGAAGGATGGCAGTCAACTTTAGTTTTGGGTGCTGCAAGCCTTTGGATCGGTTTGTCTGCTCCCCAGCTAAACAGCGCACCGTTGCAAAGAAGCTCGCACACCCGTGTCCTGATTGAGAGCAAGAAAAATGCAAACCATTTCCCCGCAATGTTGTAGGCAAGCAAGCAGCTTTTGCATCATGATGAACTCCTCTGAATTTGGAGTGGAAAATGTTAGCTCTTGACAAGAAGCTGGACACAAGCTTCATTATGTCAGTGCGGATGTGTGTTTCTGATCTATGGCTGTGTAGACCTCCAGGTACCTGACTTGCCAACAGCAGCATCTCCTGCCAGAGAACTGTTCACACTTCAGCAAAATATTGCTCAAACCCATCTGAGCCCCCTTGCAGAAGTACGGATATTACTTGTCACCAGCACAGAATCTTCTTGGAGAGGGATGTTGCATGAATATAGTGTCCAAGAATCGATGTGTCCCTTATATCATGTATAAAACGAGGAAAAGAGACAATGCAGCCTTGAAAATACCAACACAATTTAACTGACATCCCTTTCTAGGTGCTTCACAGGAGTCAAGAGCTCTACAGCGATGTTTGCTGTCAACACGTACCCACAGCATCAATAACGCAACAAGTGACTGCCACCAAAGATGTGTCACCCATGCACCTGCGACTAAGATTCTGATGGTATTCAGCTCTTCCTGCGGACACGACGCCAACAACACTCCACACGCGCCACAGTTGTTATTCTGTTCTGCACCTCATCTGAGAGAATGCGCTCACGGCTCGGTGATGGCATTGCGACATGGAGATTGATGAACCAGACTGGACCAGACTGCAGAGACTGAATCTGACAATTGTTAACAACCAACGAATTGTTGACGGGACAAGTGCCAAGCAAGAGTGAAATCCGAAGTCGAAGCCAAATCATACAAAGACAAAGAATTAAAACCACTGCTGGCAAGGCGGAAAAGACTGCAGTTCTTATCACATCTCAGATATTCCAGATTTGCTTTGCACAAACTGAGCCATGAAGAGTACATCAAGCAGAACTGAGAGGTCACAGAGTTACAGACCCAAGCAACTAGCAATGCTGTTGTCAATATCTTGTTGTCAACGTCTTTCAATGTTGTAGGATTCTGACCCTTCTCATGGACTCAAAAGCTGAGTGCAACTGAGGCTGGTTTTGTGGGATTTCCAGAGCCCCTGTACCTTCCGAGCGTCTGGTGAAGCAATGTGCGGTATGCAAAGCCATCAGGTTCAGTCCACTACGGTTCTGCACCCAGAACAGTCTTGGTGTTGGGGTCTTGGTCAGTCTTTCAGGTCAAAAGATTCGTCATTAGAACCTGCAGGCCTACCGAGCTGCCTTGGGCGCTCAGGCGGAAGATCCTTGCCTTAATGCGTACCTTGAATCTTCAGGAGGATACTACGACGGATACTTTGTCTTTTCACATGCCAAACTTCCCGCAACCAGTACAAAACAAACAATTAATTGATTTGGAAAGTATCCGTTTCCCTCCATGAAATGGATGAAAATTGGGCTCATCCCTATGTACAGCGTGGCTGTCGTGCAAATGCAAATCTGCATCTTGGGAGAAAGCCCATCCCTCTCTGTGGACAAGTTCATCACAAGGAGAATAATATTCACCTCTTTCTGAAAGAGCAGCTGAAAGCTGGATAGTGCTGGACGGGCCTTTGCCATGGAACTGTCGACCATGGATGCTAATTCACCATTCAATGCATGCAAACCCTGCGCCACTGTGGTGCAATCGGAGAAATAGCTGAAACATGTTGCAACCAATTTGACGTCTTGGATCTTGGGGTGTGAATGTGGCTCAAAGTCAGGAGCTGTGGATTACATCTCTTCGGGCACCTGATTCCAAAACAGAGATCAACTCATCACGCACAAGCAACCAAAAGCGGTGCTGCTCAGATCTAGACTCATTGCATTCTCATTGCACTCTCCCTCTATCTCCCGCTCTCTCTCTCTCTCTCTCCCTCTCTTTCTCTCGCGCGCGCACGCGTCGGTCAGAGTATTCGCAACGAAATAGCTAGTGACCTGCTCCTTTGGAGCAATTTGCCTGAGCTGAAATGGAAGCATTTGCAGTCCTGCAAATGCATGCAATTGCAAGGGGTACGTCGACCACTGGAATGAAACGGCATGCTGGTCCATCAATAAGGAATTGCAGCACATGCCATTCCTGCTAGCGTTGGTGAATAAGCTGGAGGCCCATGCATCATGTAGGCAACTATGGGGTCTTGCGGAGCAGAAAGCTCTGCTTCTGATGCTCCTGACACCGTACTGCGAAATGAACTTGCTCGAGACCTTGCAGTTCCCAGCCGGGGTAAGGATGCAGACTGGGAGAGCTTACGCTGTTCCTCCTTCCAATGTTCAACTTGATGCTTGCTCAAACCCATATGTTGAAGGAGGTATTCGGATTGTGGCTTCAATTGTCGCTGGCCACGATTCAAAAGCCGTTGCCGCATCTGGTCAAATGGCTCCTTCTTGAGAGCTTCTGTGTAAAACTTCTGGGTTTTGCTCAAGGTGGAAGGTCGTGGAGTTGTTTCTATGCTCTGTCGCCCACACCAGCAGTCCACATCTTGCAAGCCTCGTCTACAATTTGGACAGCACCAATCGGGCGGAACTCTCATCCGATGCCATGGGAACATTGCTCCAACTGGGGCCAGTGCAAGGCTTTGCAATCCGGACAAGTGGCTTATCGTGTGACATCGGACGGTGCGTCTCTGTTGTTTGCTTTCGAAATCGTGTGCTGGGTCCAAGTATGAGACTCTGTTAAGTGCCACCGAGTCATTCGAGCCACACATCCCGGGAGATGACTGCCTGGCTCAAACTATATACTGTTATATATATATATACTCTAATCATGTCGGTTCATCACGAGCCTCTGCGAAGCCAACTCAGGAAAGTCAAACTGCCGCTCCACTTCTACATTCTGGGTGACAAGCGCTTCTCACATAGGTAGCCAAAGTCGCTTGTGCTTTGCAGAGATGGCGAACCTACCACGGCAAAAAGAACACCAAAGGGCTAGAGCAAGACCAGGCAGCCATGCTTGGCAATCAAACGCTGAAAAAAAATGAGAGTTGCAACAAGCCAACCCGTCTGCCTCACTCGCCCTACCGTGTCAAGACCCAACACGGCCATGGGATCTGAGGCAATGAAACCTGAACAGAACACGTGAGCTCACGCATTCTAGATTGAAAGAAGCATTCTAGTTTGTGAAACTTCAAACCCAAAGCATTCTTGTTATTTTGTTTGCGTTTTTAGTGTTTTGAGGGGTAACTTGAAAAACCCTCTTGTTCCGACAATTGAGTGGCATCGTCGCAGGGGTCAGCGTGGGTCGCATACAGGTAGTGGTTTCGCAGTGCTACGATGCGCAGTATGATGTTGTCTTTCCAAGGTGGGCAAAGTACAATAAATGGATCAGCTGGCCGAGGAAACCCTCCTCTAAGCAGGTGTTTCAGGGGAAGGATTTCGGGGCCTTAAGAAATTATCATGAAATAGTTGCCTCTGTGATCCAAACTCTGAGTGCCAAACCCAAACGCTTTAAAATTGGCAAGGACTCTGCAAGCCAAAAGAGCCTGCCGAGTTGAAACAATGTCCGTCGAAGCGTCTAGCCATCCCTCAGTGGGGCATGCAATGCAGGATTGTTACTAGCTGATCCTTCAACATCCCCAATCATCACTGCTGGGCACCACATTCGCTATCCAACCTCCATTGCCAGGAGACTGGACATAGCATGGCTAGCGGCTCCACAGGCGCAACACAAACATGTGTAGGACCGACCACACCGGCCTGCCACCACAAAGTCGTGTACCAGGCAGCACACCACCCACACGGCCGGGCAGCTCGACTCCAAGGTCTGCCTTTAACCATCAGCAAGCAGGCTGCAAGCAGGGTATGTGTCCTTTCCATGTTGCGTGAGACTTCCCAGATATGATTAATATGGGTACTCTTGAAGCAAGCACCATTTCACTATCGCTAGCTGCTTCTGCAGTCGAAGAGAATGGGTAGTTGCTGTATTGTTCGTACCTGTCGGGAATCTAGAATGTTGCAACTGTATCTTCCGTATTCATCCATGTTCATCATAACCTCTCTGGATGCACACCATTGATCACTGTTTCAGCGGCCTCATGGACGTCCATTGGCCGTCCGTCCTGGAGGATGTACGTTCATTGTCTAAGCTTTCATTTATTGGGTGCACCACAGTTCCCACCGGCAAGAACTGTCTATATCACGTACGAGTAACAGAAATAGTGTAGGAGCAGCGGAATGCAATGCAGCTCGAATCCATCAAAATCTCAGGTCCCTGCCACATCGTTCCATTCACCAGCGCGACGGGTACAAGGATCATTCGGACCCCGAACTCCAACCTTCAAGACTGTTCATAGAACAGCAATTGTGCTGATCGAATTCACTGTAAATCGCTTGGTGAGATTCAACTGCTGAACAGGCCTGCATCGCTGCCACCCAGTTGCAGGCTGAATGTGTCTGACCGAGGTCCTCCCAGGCGTTTCTAGTTGCACATCCTTTGAGTCACACCTTAACATTTGGCCACATATATATATATATATATA